TTAAAAATGAATTATTTAGCGGTGTGCCACGCTATTGTAGATTATTTTCACAAGAAACTTGTATTCAACCCTCGTAACGAAGAGTTATTTACGAGTTAATAAAAATTTTAAATGTTACTTTCTCATGGTAATTTCCTCATTATATAGTGTTTTAACTCTGTTGTCTTCTCTACATTAGGAAAATTTAAGAAAGAAGTTTGTATTCAAGAGATCTCGATAGTCCAAGACTTTCTGAATGTATTTTCTGGTGAACTACCTAGACTGCTAGTAGACAGGGAAGTTGAGTTTACCATAGTTCTTCAACCTGATACCTAGCCTATCTCTGTTACCCTTTACCTCATGAGCCATGTTGAGATGGAAGAACTGAGAAAATAGATCAATAAATTGCAAGACAATGGATTCATCCAACATAACATATCTCCTTGGGGTGCTGGAGTCACATTTGCAAGAAAAAGGGATGGACATTATGATTATGTATTAACTATAGAGGATTGAACCGAGTTACGATCAAGAACAAATACCCCATCCCCAGAATAATGAACTTTTTGACCAGTTGCAGGGTGCCCATGTCTTCTTCAAAATAGATCTGCGTTTGAATTACCATCAGGTAAAGATCAGGGCATAGGACATTCCTAAGACAAATTTCAGAATCAGGTACGGATATTATGAGTTCCTAATCATGCCCTTTGAACTAACCAACGCACCAATCATTTTTATGGGCTTGATGAATAGGATTTTCAGATAATTCTTGGATCAGTTTTTCATTGTGTTTATTGATAATATCCTAATCTATTCAAAGAGTAGAGAGGAACATGCTCATCACCTGACTCAAGTTTTACAGGTTCTTAGGGAGAAGAAAGTGTATGCAAAATTGACCAAGTGTAAGTTTTTATTCTAGTAGACTACCTTTCTAAGATACATCATATCAATGGATGAAGTATCAGTGAACCCCAAAAAAATTGATGCAATACTTGGATGAGAGAAATTGATATCAGTTAAGGAGATTCGTAGCTTTCTAAAAATGACAAGTTATTACCGCAGGTTTGTAGAATGATTTTCCAGTCTAATCGCTCCTTTGACTCTGCTCACAAAGAAGAACGTTAAGTTTGAATGGAACGTGGACTGCGAAATGAGCTTTACAGAACTTAAGAAGTGGTTAACCCTACTATGAACGTTACCTCAGTTGGACGAGGTTGGGAAGTCCTTTATCGAGAAAGTGGGAGATATGACTCACTATCATACCGGACGAAGTATCAAGGCAATGGAATTTTTGGTGTCCATTACCGAACGAGTTATGAGGACCACTAATTAATTGTTCAAATTGGATATTGGGTTTATGAGTAGGGGCGCACCCCTATGGAACCCCAGGGGTACCAATAAGCAGGTAAGAAATAAAAGTTATTGTTTCTCATTCTCTTATGTGTGAAAGTGAAAAGTGATATGGATATGTGTCTTCATAGGTTGTTTTTGAAAAACTTGTTATGGTAAGTACGGAATAAATTGTAATGGCCCCGGAAATAAAAATGAAATGTATATATTAAAAAGTTCTAAGTGCGGAAGCGAAATAAAATTTTTGATTAATATCTCTTACACAATAACCGAAATGTATTAAACGTATGAAAGAATAAACAAACTAAAGTAAATACTAGCAATAAATGCTATAAATAAATCTATGAAGTCCTTAGTCATCTACTCGCCGTCTTCCTGTGGGACGGGCTCGGGAACCAAGTCCTCCTGATCTGAAATGGTTAAGTAAGGAATGAGCTACACTAGCCCAGTAAAGACATCACACTATCTCACTGCCACAGGAGCAAAGGTCGGTAGAAAACAAAAACGACCAATGAAGCATAATTTATAACAAACTCATTTATCAATAATAAAAACTTTTACTGTCCACTTACCTCGGTGAGATTCATGAAAATAATTTATGAAACACAATAACATCATAAACATCATAAAATCATGTAGACTCTGTAACATAACACATATCATACTCTCGTTTTTCAATCATCAGACAATAATTTTCCTCTTTTATCAGCCTACTAGTATCCATGGGGATCCATAGGGGGTCCCCGCTATACGTGAACCATTTACATTGATAACTTGATTCCAGGGCCGTCCCCATACCCCGTCCGGTATGGGCGCCAAAGAAAACATAAACCTCAATACCCCGTCCAGTATGAGGGTGAAACGAGTTGTCCCCATACCCCGTCCGGTATAGGCGTCAAACACATAAGGTCTCCATACCTCATCCGATATAAGAGACCACATTCCCGGTAGGGTTCCCTATGAACCCAGTCCGTCCACCATCTCCCAGGATATCTAGTTGGGATGTCCACATTATCTATTTATCAATTCACATACCTTTTTCTATTTTTCTTAGTCTCAATTATCCAATCAAACATAAACACGTAAACCAGTAATGAACACTAAACAAGACAATAACGGATTCACAATAATTCAAACCATAATAATCAAAACCGTGATTCATACATACGAAACCATAGAATAAACACATCAAATACCATACTGCATTTAAAACTGTAAAATAGATCAAACAACAACTGACCGAAAAATACATCAGATTCGGGCTCCATTAATAACCTTAATTAATTATACACATGTATTAATTCATGAAATGCTGTTTTATTATTTATTGAACTTTAATACCGTGATAGGAAATAGGATGAGAAATCCTTACTTGTTTTGGAGTCTGAAATCGGGTTCTCACTGTGCCTACGGGCTGTCTCTAAATTTCCTGAATTTTTCTTCGGGAACTGAAATACACTTCTGGTACCTACACATGTCCCCAAAAAACTCAAAATCAGACCTAGGGCCTACTTGGCCATTATCGAAAACTCCGGCGCGGTAGCTCCGCCGTGCTCCGGCGACGGCGCCGCCGCCCGCAGCCGCGATCTGCTTCGGGTTGGCCGTTTTCAGCCGAATTCGGCCAAAATCGCATTGATTCCTACGATAAAGCACCCTTAGGGCCCTCGGTGGGCCAAAAAATCACGAAAAACCGATATTTACCAGCGGCGAAGCTCTCGAGTGCGGCGACTTCTCTGGCGAGAGTTGCGATTTGATGTTTTGCTCCGGCCAACCTGTAGAGAAAAGGACGGTGATCACAGTGGTGTAAAAATTACATCAAACGGGAACCGGAAAGGGCTTCATCGGAGGCAAAAACCGAGGGAAGCCGCGGCGACGCCGTTGGACTTCGGCAATATTACATAAACGGTCTTCTTTATATTAAATGAATTTACTCAAATTAAATGCACCATTAGTTATTTTATGATTTTTACCAATCTTAAGTTTTTCGTATATATGATTAATATGATATTTTTATTGGGGTAGTATAACTCACCATTTCATTAACTATTTCAGATCAAGAGAATTAAGGTCCAGATCTCGATTAGCAAGAAGGTTGTGAGTAGTTCACTATCCAAACTCTCTTCAAGTGCTAGTGAAGGTTGTCTTATGATATATAGTTATTCGTTTTTCTTTTATTTTTTTAATTTCTGTTTGTTTTTTAGAAGCGACATTCTCGTAATCTAATTGGGTATTTAAAATTATTGTGTAAAGAATGTAAATTCTAATTCTATTAATCACTTCTGCATTAAATTTATGAATTTATTTCATTTTAAATTCTGAATCTTTACAAAATAATTGAGTGAAATTTTCAGATCCTAAAATAAAAAAAAATACAAATTTTCACTTAAAAATTTTAAAAATAAAATTTTGGTTCAAAACAACTTTTTTTTTTTAATTTTTAAGTGTATACTTAGTTAAGCTTTTATTCTTTTATTTTCTGTCAAAAAATAAATTTTTAAAAAAAAAATAAAAGCACTTTTAGTTAATAAATTAAATGTATTTACTTTCAAAAAAGATAAAATTAAAAATTAAAAACTATATTTTTAAGATATACTTTGTGTTGGACAGTTAATTAATATTTTTAATAAGTATATTTAATGATTTAATATTTTTAAGATAAAAATATAATAATAATTTATTATTAAAATTGAATAGTTTTTTTAAAACTAAAAAGTAATAGTTATATTAAAAAAGAAATAAAATAATTGAATAAAAATAAAATATTTAGAAATAATTTAAAGTACTAGAAAAAATTAAGAAATATATTTAATATCATTGAAATAATTCCAATAATTAATTTTCATATGTAATTTTTTTTTTTATCATTTCAATATTTATTATTAAATTTTTAACATAAATAATCAAATATAATAACACAGCAACACCTTTCACCTCAAATTTTATTAAACACTATAATCTTATTATCTTAAAGTTACTTTTATTAAAAGTTATTTTACAATCACAATATGAATACGGTTTTTTCAAAGTTATTTCTAATTAAATATCTAATAAATATTTTATATATAGTATTTAAATTTACTTATAAGTATTAATTCCAAATTTCCTCTAAATCTCTATTTTTGGAAGTGGTAGCCGCGATGCGATTTGTTAGTATTCTTAAAAAAAAAAAAAAGGTTTAATATTTTTAAATAAAAAAATATTCAGCATCTTGATAAATATTATTATATAAAATGATGTAAGTATAAAATATATTGCATGCTATAAATTATAGTTACTAAAATAATTAAGAAAAATGATAATTACAAATCATTTTCACATTAATTATTGATTTTCAAAGTTTATTTCATTTTAAATTATTCTTTACTTTGACCTTAAATTATTTTTATTGAATAAAAACATTAATTTAATTTAAAAATATTAAAATATTTTCTAATAAATTTTATATTATTAATAATTAAATTATACTTTATTGAATAAAAACTGTATATGTGATTGTTTTTTTTTTTTTTTCTTGGTAATAATTAATAATCATAATTATGTTTAAAAAAGAACGTGGATTCATCAGTTAAACAAACTCATGGTTTTCTCTTAATAAATTAATCACAGCTCCTATATAATCTCACTTCCAATCCTCTTTTCTCAATATCATTAAACTTCTATCACAAGAAGAAATGAATTTCAAGAAGTTAGTTCTTGCAATGACCTTTACATACCTCCTGGTTGCAGTAATGGCGGAAGAAAGCGGAGGAGTTGTGGAGTGCTGGGAGGCATTGATGGAGCTCAAATCTTGTACTAACGAGATTCTTGTCTTCTTCCTCAACGGCCAAGCGTCTCTAGGACCTGACTGCTGCCGTGCCATTCATATTATTAGTCAAAATTGCTGGCCTTCAATGCTCACTTCCCTTGGCTTCACCTCCGATGAAGCTAACATACTCGCCACCTATTGTTCATCTTCTTCTTCTTCTTCCTCCTCTGCTCCTGCTGCTGCGCCTCCACTTTAGATAGATGCCTATCTTATCAATAAAGCTTTTGTGTTTATTCTTCTCAATCCGAAATAACAAACTAGTGATGAATTACAGTTTACAGTTATGTCAAGTTTCTTAATCATAATTTACAGTCTCCCATGGCTCATTGGGCTCTAGATATGACTTTGGTTTGTTTAATTTTTCTGTAGCAATGCAATCAGAGAATACTTATGAATTGGTTAAATTATAATGGAGAAACCCAAAAAGATCACATCATCTAAGAGAAACCAGAATTTTACTGCCTCACAAGATTTTCAACATACACTATAACAGGAAACAGTTGCTAGACCAATTACACGCAAGCTAATAGAGTTTTTTTTTTTTTTTTTTTTTTTTCTTCCAAGAAAATAAAAGAAGGAAAACGCGCAGCTACAATTCATTGTCGATCGATTTACAGGTTAAACCGATGAGTAAACTTGGAAAATTTAGCGTTACCAGATCCCCGGTCATCACCATCATGACTGGATCCTCGCTGACTCTTCCCTCTCTTATGGCTGTGACCCTGTCTCCGATCTATCCGAGACCTCAAACCTCCGGTCACAATCTCCAGCGGTTCACTCCACGCCGGAGACATTGCTGGTGAACTCGCCGGGGAATAAAAAAGAAAGCAGTAAATGCTTGAGGTATCAAGCCCCAAAACACCAAAATCATCATCGTGAGGCTTACCGGAGCCAAATTCAGCTACAAGAACCCCGTCCAAGCCGTGAACAGCAATGGTTGAGCCAAGGAAGAGGTCTGGAACGGAGATCCGGGTTTCGGAGACGATGACGGAATCGAAATCAGATGCATTAACAGAAACAGTGGTAGAGTTGAGTAGGAGGGTATGACGGGGGAGAAGGGTGGCGAGGCGGGTACCATTAGGAAGACTAAGGAGATCGGAAGTGGAAAGGCGGAGAGGTGAGACATGGTAGAGGAGAGAGCGAGTGTAATGAAGAGCAGTAGAGGAGAGATCGAGGGAAGAGAGAAGTCGGTCAGGAGGGGCAAAGAGGGTGAAGGAGGAATTTGGGGAGGAGAGAAGGTGCGGACGTAGACAGGATGTGTCGATGGCGTTTGGGAAAAGGGTATAACCGCGAGATCGGAGGGCAGAAGCTGCGTCTTGGAGTTCTTGGTCGATGAGATTTGCGGTGACAACAGAGAGAGGGACAATGAAGAGGAAGAAGACGAGCAGAGCCATGGATTTGCTGCAAGAATTTTCCATGGCGGAGAGCAAGAGAGAATCGGGATTCTGTTACTTTTTTGGCGGGATTGTTTCTTTTGAATGGGATGCAATGCAAGGTAATGATGAAAGCTGTGGGTTTATGTAGTCGAATGAGTTGTGAATATATATATATATATATATATATATATATATTCAAGTCCGTTAGAGGGAATGAGAGGAGTCAATTTTTTTGAAGTAATTTACAATTGATGTTAGTAGTATATGATGTAAATAAGAGATAGTATCTAAAGCCTCATATGTACTTTTCCCATTTGTAAGAAATGTACTCATAGATAGATAGCAAAGTAGACCTTGCACTGTCAATTCGTGCTAACTAATCCATCTTAAAATTTCATTAGTTTTACGAGATAGAATTTTAACTTATATTCTTTAAGAATAAAATATCAGAACTAATAAATTTTTAAAAAAAATTTATTAATTTCACACAATTATAATAGTAGTGCATATTTAGCAGAACCAGAAGTACATGATGCAATTTGAATCTATTATCTTATGAAGTAATACAATCTGAATGTAAAGTGCCATCAAAATTCATGTTTGCAACAAAACTTTGACATGCTCAGCAAGAACAAAAACATAAAAGACAACCGCAAAAGTAGAGCAAAGACAGAAGTTACGTAGTAATAGTGTAGCATTAGCCAACTTGCACTGGGAATTACCAAATTAGGACAGCATGACAAGATTTCCTAAAATTTCAATCCCCTAGAGCGTATATTCAGTGATAAAAGTTCTCAAAATTATTCTAGTAGGGTAATCAAAAAGCCCAGTAATCTAGGCATTGCAACTCATCTATTGTGAGGAGTTGTTTCCCAAATCGATCACAAACCGATATCTGACATCGGATTTGGCCAGCCTTTCCATTGCTGTATTAATTTCGTCCATCTTGATCAGCTCAATATCTGCTGAAATTTTGTGCTTGGCACAAAACTCCAGCATTTCCTGTGTCTCTTTCATCCCTCCAATGTCACTTCCCCCAACAAGCTTTCTCCCTGCACCCACATCAAAGTTTCAGATTCTGTTACGTGAATATGATATTCAAAATTTCCATATCATCCCCGTATGTCAATTACTTTTAGCATAAAATGAATAATCTAAGCAACATAGTCATCTCATACAATTTTAATTACAATTTTTGTTCTCCCTGCAGCTGCAATGAAGTCTAATGTCAATATTCAATATGTAGTATCCTTAGTTAGAGGTCTCATGATTATGCAGCTTACCCAAAACTAATGGAAAAATAGGCAGCTCCAGGGGCCTATCAGGCAAGCCCAAAGTAACCAGCTTCCCATTTATTTTCAGAAGACTGATCAGTGGTTGAAGAGGATGAACTGCTGAGACTGTGTCAATGATGTAATCCATGGTACCAATGGCTGCCTGAATATTAAAATCATAAATTCAGTTAAACTGTTTCCTACTCATTTTGATCTGCGCATAAAAATTTGAAAACCATAACAATATTTCAAATGCAGGTAGGTCCAAGTTGTAATTGCATCAGCATCTTAGTCTACTGATATTTCCAAGATCTAATTGCATCAGCATCTTAATCTACTAATTGTATTATCATATAAAATGCAAGTCCTAAATAAATGAACTGCAAATAAATTCTTACCAATCAAATAAAGTGCAAGTCCTGAATTAATGAAGTTCCCAATAAATTCTTTGGTAAGATTTATAAATATTCCTAACCAAAATCAACGATGGATTTGAATTCAAGTATTCTCATCAATAGCTGCAAACTGAATTCATTGCCAGGTAGACAAGAAGTTCCAGGATCAACTTAAATGAGACACTATAGAATATATAGCATCTTATGGTTTCAAAACTCTCGTGTACCTTGCTACCTATAAATATGATACTGATTTCCCATATACCTTCATTTTTGCAGAGTCACTTGTGACGAGGAATGAATCAGCACCAAGTCTGTCAACCGCTTCACTCTCCTTGTTTGGGGAGCGACTGATGACAGTAACTTTTAGCCCAAACGCCTTACCAATCTTGACAGCAACATGACCAAGCCCACCAAGTCCTGCCACACCCAAATGCTTCCCTGGCTCAGTCATTCCATAATACTTCATTGGGCTGTACACTGTGATTCCAGCACACAGAAGCGGTGCACCAGCATCAAGCGGCAAGTTATCGGGAAAACGGAGGACATAGCGCTGGTCCACAACAATAATATCAGAATAACCACCATAAGTTTTTGTTCCATCCTGGGAATGGGAGTTATAAGTAAATACGGTATAAGGGCAGTAGTTCTCCAAATCCTGCTGGCAGCTGTCACATGTCCTGCAGGAGTCCACTATCACCCCAACCCCAACATGGTCTCCAACATTGAATTTCTTCACATTCTTCCCTACTTTTGCGGCAACACCAACAATTTCATGCCTGCAGAAGATAAGATATGCATATTATCTATATACGGCGGAATATGTCATAAATTTAAATCTTTTCTGCTGTCGTCCTTGAGTGATTAAAACTAGTATGGTGTGCCTAACAAGTTTATAATCAAGTATGGTGTGCATAACTAGTATGGTGCGCATAACTTCATGATAATTTTAGTAGCACTTCTTAAATTTATAAGTTATTATAAGGCTATGCTTGGATTGATTACAACAAAAACTTTTGTTTTTTATACTGTCAAGTATGTCCTCAAATTTGATTAGATTGGAAGAGATAAGAGATGTGCTACCTCCAATTCTAAGAAAAATTAATTTCAAAAATGGATTCCATATTTTGAATTAGTTCTAACACAAAATAGAGATTGAAGAAATCCAATTTCTTGTGAAAAACATTTCTTCCAACCATAATGTAACGGAGAATAGGATAGCTCTATGTACTTCCATACACAAATGCCTAATCTACTTGTTTTGTCAAAATACTAAAAATTATTTATTTGTATATTGTTCTAGTCCGATTCCATGTACATACATTTTGTTTTTTTTTTTTTAAGAAGTACATACATTTTGTTTTAGCGAACAAAGAAACCATGCATCACCTAGTTTTCTGTAAATTACAACTTCAAAATATATTCATTCATTTTTATTTATGTTCAGTATCAAAGAGTACTGAGATTTTCTGATCAATAATTTATATGAACCCTTTATCTCAAAAAATTATTTATGTGAACCCTTGTAGTTACCATGCTTTTTGAGAACTTACTTACAACACTCTTATGTTCCACTTATAACTTTTTAATTAATGATTGGAAGTAGTTTGTACATTATGATGATTATAACTATTATATTATCATGTGATATGATACTTGACACTCGTTTTATGATTTTTGATTCGTAATTCTATTAATTTGGTCAAATGTTGGTCACCATAATTTCTAATCCTATTAAGAGACTAAACATTGGTCATTCTGATATGTTACTAGCACAGAAACAAGTTCTAATACCCTATCATCAAGGACATGAGTAATGCGTTGTGGTTCTCATAATGATTGCACTCTGGCAACTAGGCTTGTCGAGTGTTCCTCTCTTGTGGGGTGGAGTTGCCATGAAGGTGGCTATTGTAAAGTCAGTGACTGGGGAAGATGGGGATCCTCGCGTCTTTTCTTCACTTCGGCTGTACTACATTGAGCAGCAGCGCAGTCAACAAGTGAGAGAAAGGGATTTTATGGTATGTGGCTGCTTTTGGATATATTTATACTTTTTGGAGTAACCTCTGTTCAAGCCAAAATAACACCTTAAACCCTCCTAGATCGAGAAATATTGTAACTCAAAGTTGAGAATTTGAATAATCCAAAACTTTCACTTGCCAGTATTGCCCACTCTCAAGTAAAGAATTTAAAATAAGTAATTTATTATTCTTTATTCTATTTTCAAAATACTAAAAACATTTATTTATAAATTGTTATAATTCCATAATGTATATGTATATATGTATATATAATTTTAAAGGAGATCACCATGCAATGTTAAAGTTTTTCAGTTACAAAATTTCAAGAAATGTGTGGTTTTGTTTATATATGAAGTATTGAAGAAGATTAAGATTTGTTTTAAATTTGTTTACTTGAAGTTTTGTGGCATATGTGGCTTTTGAGAAATTATTTACAACGCTCAGAGTATTGTATTCGGAAAGCATTTTATTTTATGGCACAGTGCAATTCAATAATTAGTGGTAACTTGTAAATCTCCTGGAATCATACCATATCATAAGTAATTGGACTTCGAGACAAAAGTAGTTTTTTGTGATAAATATGATAGTAATTCTTAATTAATTAGGTCTTGAGATGGATTTTGACTTTCATACTCTTTAAGTCAGCATGTTTTGGTTGTGTCTAATAATAATAGGCCATGCATGATTATGGAATTTTCTTCAAGCATTTAACATTTTTGACGTATTTAACTTTTCCTGTATTTATATTTATTTGTAAGTTGAAAAATTTTATATAACAATTTTAATAAAAATTTTAAAGTAAACCTATAACGTTTACAAGATGCTTTCATTGATAATTACTGTAAAATGCTCTAATTAATAATTAAATCACTGAAAACGTAAAATGGTGGGTAAAATTAAGCATTTTTATGAGTGACAGAAAAATTACATACCCGGGAATAACAGGGTAATTGGTGAAGCCCCATTCGTTCTTAGCAGCGTGCAGATCAGAATGGCAAACTCCACAATAGAGGATTTTTACAGTGACATCATCGTCCCCATTTTCTCTGACAGCAAGAAAGAAAAATACAGGAAGCGTCAAATTCACGTCCTACTTGAAAAGAAAATAAATAGTAGGGTATCACAATCCTTCTCTATCAATTTGTCATCAATCAGAGCCATGTCAGTTTCTAAAGTAATCGAGAAAGCCTAAGAAGAGCAGAATGAATAAGATTCGGAGTCGAGGGCCCAACAGCATTATTTTATTATTTAAGAGAACAACAACAAACTAATTTCTGAACGATTCCCGTGGAGTCAAGATCTTCACCATCAAAAGTAAACATCAACGAATTAATTAATTAAAATTGACCTAACATAATTTCAATATAATAATAACTAAATAAGATCATCTAATCTATTCGCCACAAACACTTGATTTACGGTTTCCTGGTTTTATACGTGGAGAACGGAAGCGAAAAAAATGATATCTGAGAAACATTATTCAATCTAGAACGAGCGGATTAAAATTTGAAGGAAAAGAAAAGATAATATATGTATATATACACGCATAGAAGAAGACTACGAAGAAGAAGACGAAAAGACGTATCTAAGAAACATCATTGAATCTAAAACGATTGGCTTCGGAAACGAAATGAGATCCAAATAAGTCTAGATTAGAAGAAGAAGACGACGACGGTGATGAAGAAAATACCTTCTAGAGAAAGGGAAAGGCGAGAGAATGCCAGATTGATCTGTAGCCGCCCAGCCAAGAGCCTTAACCGGGAGTTTTTGTTCTGTTGCCTTCGCCATTCTCTCTCTCTCGATAAAAAAACGGATGGAAGAAACTGGCTGCACTTGCATACATATATATACAACACAAGAATAGTGACCTGTTTGGATGCAAAAAAATCCCATTCATCATAAAGCGTAAGTTATTTTTGTTTTCCCTCGTCGGTTAGATTTGTTTTATGTACAAAACAAACTAACCTTTATGATCTCTTTTACTAGTCCGTTTCCACTAAAAACAATTGCCTTTCCCTCAAAAAAAAGAAAATTTGTCTTTTACTTCTAACACATATTTTATTTTATTTAAAAAATTGCACATTGTATATATCATATATATATATATATAATATTGAAGTCATGGGTAATCATTACGTAAATAAATTTAAAATATGTTAATTATATTTATAGAATTTGTCATGTCCTGTCTACTCTTAAAATATATAATAATTCTCCGTGTGACCAAATTTTACTAATTTGGTCTTATTTTCCTTTTTTTTCTCATGCTATTTTAAAGAGAGAAATTATGCATATTTTTGTTTATATTTTTTAATTAATTAAAAGATCCAAAAATTTTAAAAAAATAAATTTATATCTTAAATGCAGAAACGAATAATAATATTAGGATTTACATTTTTTACACAATAAATTGAAATACACAATAAAAATATAAGAATGTCTCTTCTACGTTGTTCATAAAAAAAATAAATAGTAATTAAAGAAAAACGAATAAATAAATATTTTAGAACTAATCTTCACTAGTACTTCAAAAGAGTTTAGAATGTGAACTAATCACAACTCTTTTACTGATTGGAACATGGATATTGGTCTTCTTGATATGAAATGGTTAATAAAAGAGTGAGTTACACTATTCTGGTAAAAATATCACACTAATAATTAATACGAAAAATCGAACGTTATTAAAAATACAAAAATAACTAATAGAGCCCTTACTTTAAATAAATATATTTAACTTTAAAACTTTTTATTTGATACTTACCGTTATAATTTTTTCTCAAAATCAACCTATGAAAACAATTAACCAAATGACATTTTAATTTCATGCATAGGATCAGTAATCCTTTCTTTTTAACTTACTTATTGGAACGTCTGGAGGTTTATAGAGATATCCCTCTATTCGTAGACCCAGTATCAAGATCTGACAATTAACTCAACCGTCCTCATACCCCGTCCGGTAATAGGCGCCAAAAATACCATCGCCTTGATACTCTGTCCGATATGAGGGAGAACTATATTTCCTAAAACTCTTCCGGTATGGGACTTCTCAGTCCCGTCAGACTGAGATATGTCTACGTTGTGATTCCCTATGTACTAGGTCCGTCTACCCTTTCTCAAAATACTCAATAAGTTTTTATTTATTTAGATTCCCATCATCCAAACAACCATTAAACCATACCAACATCTCATTTTATATTTACTGATCAATTTAAATAGCATTTAAACAAGTAATATAGTTTATTATAACCAATAACCGAGTAACCAGATAATTAAATAAAAAAAATACAAGATGAACTAAAAAAATCAGATCATCGAGAAGACCATAGAAATTATCAATTTAAACATGCACAATATAATAGTAAGCAAGTTAAGCAGTACAAAAAAATAAACAAGGAATCAGGACAAATGTGAACTAACCGGTTGCAGTTCTATTAGTGACCTGTAATATTTTTAGAATTTTTCTAATTTTTCACAAAACACATAATTATCGATTATTAATCCTCAATTTACTGTAATCGAGAATAGAGTGAGGGATCCTTACCTATATCGGTATTTTAAAATATCGTGTTATCTACTATGCTGCCTAATGGGTCCTGAAATTTCTAAATTTTTTATACGGGAATCCAAAATACTCGTTACGTACCTAAAAATACCCCAAAAATCTAAAATTAATGTTGAAAATCCTTTTCAGCATATTTTAGGGTTCCGACACGGCGGTACTGTCGTGCTTTGGTGCTGGTTCGACCGCCCACAATGGTAGTTCGCCTCAGTCTGGCCAGTTTTAGCTAGTTTTACATGTATCTCTGTGGAAAACCAAGTTATGGAGGCCTCAGTTGGCTAAAAAATCACACAAAATCAAACTTGATGGTGGCTCTGTTGGTTTTCCTCCGTGGCTGGAGTTTCTTGTTCAACTAACTTGC